ATTATTTAAGGTATATTCCTACATTTTTGACTTGGATTGGTATGATTTGTATGATTGTTAGTCGAACACATTATACCATTGATGTATTATTCGCTTACTGGCTTACAGCTGGTTTTTTTTGGTAAAAATTTTTGTTATTTTTCTTTCCTCCAGTTTCTTTTTTGGTTTTCGCTTTAAAAGCTCAAAAAAAGTTTCAAAAGTTTTGAAATAATATAACTGCTTTTTTTCCAGTTAAACATATTTAACACTTCAGTAATATTTTCAGTAGTGATAACCAGTGTAAATCTGATGTACGTTCTCAAATCCAGTCATATTAATTTGTTTATTCCCTACAAAAAAGATTCTTTTAAACATTAAAAAGCAAAAAAAAAGAAAAATAAAAACAAAAGAAAAAAGTTGGTATTTTCAGTTTTTATCATGCATTCTGTGAACTGGATGAAACATCACGCAACCGTCGAACAAAAACAATTTGGCGTCAGCTTTGGATAGTACGAATTGTGGAATGGTTAGAAGAAAGTGTTCCAACCGGCAGGTGTGCTATATATTTTTTTTTATACTAATGTCATTTTTTTCTTCAAACTACTGACTCCACTTTCAAAATCCAGTTGTTGAATACCAAAAATAAATAGACTTTCTGAATTGTCAAAAATGTAGAAAAATAAACACAGAAATCATTTCGCATTTGAAGTAAGTGTCGTTAGATTGCTCAAAAAATTGTTTACCTGCCACTGATACTTGGTGAAACCTCTCGCAGTATTCCATTGTACTTCAGGATCTTTTCATTTCATGCTCATTCTAAGTACTGTCTTTTTTCCAGTCTTGAACTATAAGAGACGAAATGTTGTCTTTTTTCATTTTCACCAATTTCAAGAAATATAATTAACTAAGAAATCTTGATCTTTTGTCGGCACCTTCTGCAACCCGACAACTTCGATGACTTTTGCTTAACAACCAATTGTCATCAACTGTCTTAGAATCATCTGAATTTAAATAGCAGTATCAAGTTGAATTATTCTAATTACAACACTTAAAAAGTAGACTTTTCTTTGTCTTATATCTAATTAAAGCATAATTTATGAACGATATTTATGAGCATAAGTCGACCATTGTTTTTGTAAGAACTATGATGCTCAAATATTTTGAAAAGCTAAAAGTCGGCTTTGGACAGAATATGTTTGCTCGTTCTTTTTTTTGTTCTGCCTAATTATACGTCATCTGTTAACGCTAACAGTGATCTCACTTGTCACGCACTGATTCAATAAATTTAACTGATGAAACCTCAACCAGAATCGTAACTCACATATAGTTCTTCGTTGCCTTTTCTGTACACCAAGTTCCGAGACTCATTGACATCTGTTGGATAAACATTGAAAAACAGACTGATACTAACGTCCAATGAAGTGCTGCACAACAAGCAAACCCAAAACTGTCTGAAGTGTTTGCTCCACCATACCACTAATTTCTTGTTTGATGAAATAGATGCTTGTTTTTAGGTTCACATAGCTTCCTTTTCTGTTGTAGAATCTTTTTGCTATTTGCTAGGAATAAATAAGCATTTAATCAGGCACCTCACTAACTGGAAAGAAACTGTTGTTTTTCATTATTTATTAATTAGTACTTAACACAAAAAGCACTATATGTAAGCAAAATAATTCAGAAGCATAATAATTAGCGGAATTTTTGGCAAAATTATGACAAAAAAGAGAACATTCAAAGAATAGCTTTATGAAATTTTCAACCTAAGCAATTTGCCAAAAATTTTGTTGCATGCAATACCTTTTCAGACCATCTGAAACTTGCGACAATGAGCCACTGATGGAAAATTCAGTTTGTAGCGACGATTAGGAATCTCATGGAAGTTTTTATAAAATGTAAAAAGAATTGCCTCTTACCAGTGGTGAAGCTTTTATCGGTAATAAACAGCTCCAGACTTCTACGACTATCAATCGTTTTGCTTTCACTGTTTAGCTGCACCAAGGCTTTAAATACTTTTTATCAGTCAGGACCTTCGAGCTTAAATAAGTGAACTGCCTAAATGTAAATATTTATTTTGAAAGGGTGTAGGTCAAGAAATTATTTCAGCATTAAGGGGGATTTTTGGAGAATCTTTACTGAAATCTTTGAAACTTCTTACTAATCATCGTATTGACAACTGCTAGATTTTGCAGAATTTAGCAAAATAAATTTGAGGAAATAATTATTTCATAGTAAAAGTTGTATATTGATTTCTACTATAAAATTTTTTTTTTTGTTTGCCACTACTTGTTAATTTATTCTTGAAAGCAGTTATGTTCAAATTTGTTTTAATTCTTCGTTTATTTGATTGCTGTAACCTAAATAACCGTCATTAACTGTTTTTAATATGTTGTGGCAATTCATCTGCAGTTAACCAACCCGGAAGCCTTTGTCAGCGCTTGATGTCGGTAATTTAGCCTATTTTTTTTTAGTTCTTTCTGTTTTTGACTTTTATATTTTCTGAGCAAAATAATTGCTTATCAGTCAAGGTGCTTGTTAACATTTGTAAAACAAAATTGCTGCAAATTGCTACACATTATGATTGCTAGTTTTTTAATGTAAAAATCTTTTACATTGCTAGATTTATTGAGTAAAACATTGGAAAATTAATAGAAGCTGCTAAAAAAAATAGAACTTTTATATTGTTTCATTTTTTTTCTTGATTTTTTTTTTATTTTTTTATCTCATTCCTCAAATAGTAAAAAGGTTATGAACAATAAAAAATGTGACAAAACAGATCCTTAATGCATGGAGAAGAGCAAGACTGTAACTACAGCAGTTTGTACTTGTTTCTTATCCTTGACCAAATTACTGATTCTAAACTATTTGTTTCGGTTTTTAATCGCTTTTAAAGTAATTTTGTTAGCTATAATTAACTATTACATAATTCAGCACTTTTTTGCAAGAGGATCTTAACAGTGATCATGCATTTCTGTTTCGTATATCAGAATTAAATTTAACTTTTTCTACCATTATCAGTTTTGCTTACAGGTTACATCAACATCTGCTTTGAATAGTTTTTGTTCAGGAAAGCTAAAAAAGTTTTACTTTACACAGCATTTTATCAACAGTAAAAAAAAAATATTTGAAAGGTTAGTTAACAAATTAGTGGAAAGTTAGTTAATTAGTAAAAAAAAAAAAAAAA